CAGAATACTAATGATGGTCCAATCATTCCTCCACATGCAGTAATGAAAGCAAAAACTGTGTAAAAATAAGTTTCATTTAATTGTTAGAGGGACATGTTGTACTAATAGAGTCTGCTGCTCTAATCTGGCTTGATATGGGAAATGCATTCATCTGCATGGGAGAGATGATTGACAGCTGGCACGGGTACCATATGGGCTCCGACAGCGACAGCGGAACTGAAAAAAACAGCAGGTGCTTTGATCAAAGCAACTTCCTATTTTCATCACTGGGCTTCGGAGTACATCTGCATAACAGCTTTGCCCAAGGGAAAGCTGACACAGCAGGCCGAGCTTCCTTGGCATCAACACAGCGAAACTGGATGTGAGTGTACATGTAGGCGAGGGAGCACACATACACAGCAACACAAACTCCCTGTCCTCTCCCGAGCAGCGTGAGTCGGGGTAAAAATATGGAGGGACTCTCTCTGATGAGGATGTGGATAAGAGGGCATAGTTTCAGAAGGTTGCACTGGGGGAATCTTCAAAGGGAAATATGCACTGGGTGAAATGGGTTCGATGGAGTTCAGCTCCAAATTAAAAACCTTTTTCAGCCAAAAGTTGGTCCAACCAGCAAATGAAAACAGTCCTTTGCGCAATCGATTTATTTTATTGTGAGTGCAAAACTTTTATTCCCTATTGCCAAGAGCAGCCAGGCTAAAAACTAAAAATCTGTGAGTACCAGAAGAATGGACTGGTTGTTACAAGAGGTAAATAAAGAGTTGGTTGCTGATTACCAAGCCAAAAAAATAAGAAATATATATATATCAGGGTTTTAGCTTAGAGAGGTAGAGGCTTCTGTCAACATAACATCTCAAACAATGAATCTGCATTGTACATCAATAATTCATGAATAATTAGTTTCACTGACTAAGATTTCTCTCGACCAGCAAGGGTTTTTAATCGTTTAGTCGATTAATTGGTCACATTCCTATAGTGGACTAATCAACCAATCAGAACATTTATAATGATCAAATCTGAAAGGATAAAATAAAAGGAGTTTGCTTTGTTTTGAAGGTAACAAGCCCAAAAAGTTGGATGCTTCTGCAGGTACTCATTGGAAAACTATGAATTAGTAGTAGCTTTCACCAAATATATGTTGATGTCCAACGTGAAGTTGCTCCAGACAGAGCAACACAAACATCTCTGACTGCAAGGGTAAGAAAAAAAAAGATGAAACTGTGTGTGGTTCATATTCCTTTGAAGAGCAGAAAAGCAGAGCACATAGCTTCAGGCGTATCCCTTTCAAGTCTCCAACCCCTGAACTCACAAAGCACCTTTTTAAGAATAAAAAATAACAATTTTAACTGGAATACCACTCACTTGCTTTCAAATCAATACAAAAACCACACACAGTTAATGCAGCAAATGAAACCTTCAGGATATATTAACATAGGCATGTAAATGATCTCTATATGTTTTTATGGTTATTTCCCTGCAGGAAAACAGCTGAGACGAAGCTTGTATGTGCAGCGAGTGCTTGTACACTCAGCGGAGTGTGACAAGTGTTCAGTCCTGAACAGATAACTGCACTGTGAGCGTTGTTGCACAGTGAAACCCCAACATGGTTTTCAGCTGCTTCTGTCGAGGGATGAGTTTGAGTGAAATGAACTGAAATTACCAGCAATAATAAAAACTAAAGTTATGCAGAACTGGGCAGCGAGAACATTACATAGAAAATAAAATGTTATATTAAAATCATTCGTCTATGTGCATGTTTTCCTCTGTTCACCCTCTCCACACAAACATACACACCGCCCAACAAAACAGCCATCCAATCCAATGGATTCTGACCACTAAGAACGGGCTGATGAAATATGCATGATGGAAGAAAAGCTCGGAGCCTAAGCACACACAAATGTCCTGCATCCCTCTCTCTGAGCGGAAAACACTGACAGCGGCAGTGCTTGAAGGCGCAGCAGCTATAATGCGCTGGATGGAGCACGGAGCTGAGCCAGTGGAAGGTTGGCAAGTTTACATCTAATTCTGGACTTCACCCACGGGACCATCGGGCCGAGAAAGGAAAGAGTCGAGCAGGTTAACCTGAGGTGACCCGGCGCTCGGCTTTGTGTGAGTGCATGTGTTTATCAAGCAAACACAAGGTTGCACAGCTGCGTGTTTGTAAAGGAACAGCAAGAAAATTGATTGTTCCTCCCACAATCCAGCTGTGTAATAGTAACAGCGATAGAGCAGATGTTTTCGTCAATAGAAAAACATCTGTTTTGAAGGAGACACAGTTTAATGATTCAGGCTGTAGTTACTGCTGTCATGCAGCTTAGTGAGTGTAGTCGTTTCTTATATCTGTCTGTCTGAATAATGTCCACATAGGTGTCTTCTTATGTCAGGGAGGTTTCAATTTACAATGGACTTATCACTTTGTAGTAAATGTAATGGCTGTAAAAATACAAACTATGAAATAATGGCTATAAAATAATAACACCATCGGAATTTCGATTGATTTGCTTTTTCGTGAAAAAACTGTACTGTGCGAAAACTGCTTTTCAGTGGATTCTGAATGTGCTTGTCATACACGTCTGGCGATATGAAACCAGCAATCAGTGTTGTAGTTTGATCCAAAGGAAGGTAATGAACCACGGCCTGTTTTATTTTCAAACATCATCAAAGAACAACAGGTTGAAATTGTAAAATTTGTCTAGAGTGCCACTATATGAGACAACTATCATTACCCTTAATCTCTGAGCACATCGGCTGTGATCTGACAAGCCTCTGGGGTAATAGCCAATATTTTGGGGCTTCCATTGTAGCCAGCAGAAAACCAGGCCAAGACTCTGTCTTTACAAGACTTTACAAATGCAAATAAACATCCTCCATGATAAAACTGTGACATCCCAGTGTGAGCACTGTCCATCAAAGAAACGTATCCGTCACATCATATCTGACTTTTCACTATTTACACTTGACAGACTCTCACATCATGTCTCACTTCACTGTTTCAAAGAGAAAAACTAAAATTGAAGCAAGAAACACTTCAAGGTGAACCCCACAACCTTTTTCCTTCGCCTGCACATGTACTCACATTATTCTCATCAAAATCTAATTCAAAGCTATGACAGACTAATGATCAGCAAAATACTGTTCCTTGTCTTTTTGTATTCTCAATGATTTTTCTAATAAGTAGAATAACACACACACCCACACACACACACACA